AGTTGTAAGGAACCAGAAGAAATCCAGAGCTTATAAGCGGGACGTTTCGCAAACCCACAACTGACTGTTCCCGCCATTTTCATGGCGTCATGCAATTGCAACCAATGGTCATCTATACCTTTCGGTGGAGTGGTAGCCAGCCTAGAGGCTAGCTCGGTTCGATACTTATTTGCAACAGAAGTTGCAACCAGCTTGCTAATATCAATCCTTTGTTGGCGGTCACTTCGTTGTCCACTGAAAAGTAAGGCAAGATTGGCGCAGACCAGGGCATGATCAGAGTCCAGATAGGTACTCCAAAAGGAGCGGCAGTCTTGTACACAACCACGCCAGCTGATCGCGATGTGATCAATCTGAGTCCAGGCTTGGGATGCAGAGGGAGGACGCCAGGTGGCACATCGGCGATGACTGTGCCGAAAGTTAGTGCTAGCCAGAAACAGGTTGTAGTCTGTGCACAGTTGCAGTAGACGGTCCCCGTTTGACAATACCCTCAGGCCAGAGTCAATATTCAGTTCATATTTTAAACTTTAGTAAACCTGTGGTACGTACGATTCCCATCTAATTGTTTAGCCCCGGACCAATATCATCTCGTGATGGAAATCACTTTAAGAGTAAATGCAACCATCCGACTTGATAAAAACTTATTCTTAAAAAACTTTCCTCGTAAGTAAGCCGACTAGCAGCGAAATCTACGATAGTTTTTTTCAAGTTAGGATACGTAACGCATCCCAATCTACTTGGTTGTCAGAGAACCTAGAAATTTTAAAATCTCTCATCAGTCCAAATCTTATTATTACACGACATTCTTTTTATTGCTATATTATCTACATATAGTTCTTGATATCACTGGTAAAATTATATGAACCATAAGACAGTCCAAGTCCAATGTGGTGATATTATAACAGTTTAGTTTACTGCAAACTTGTTCCATGTTGTTTATGACTGAATGCACTACCGAATTATTAGCTTCTAACATTATCTTCGTTTTGCCATCAGTAAAATGGAATAAGTTGGTGCAATTAGCATCTTTATATTGTAAAAAGTGGTAAAGATGAACATCACTGAAACATGCTGGGATCTTAATCGCCTTAGTTAATCAAGAAACAGGAAGGGTGGGTCAATGGTTCAATATACTATGACCTAGGATACAATTTAAGATCCTTGCATTATAGTTGATTTCAGTGCGTAATGAAAACTATAACATTATTTTGATAAATACGCCTTTCTCTGGTTTGCATTACCATCCCCTGGTTAGCGACCCAAACCAGTAGAAAACTAACTCGCTAAAAAACGCTAACCAGAAAAAATTATTCAACCCACTAAAACTCTGCCCTGGGAGTCAGGTCTTCATTTAGAAGAACTATGACGCCTTATAATGAAAGCCGAATTCCTTCGGAGGTTACGTGGCCGACGCCTCTTCTGACTACCAGAGAAACCATCTATTTAGATACATGGAATGTTCTTACAATGTGGGACACCGGGAGAGCCCTCCAAATTGCTGCAGAAATGAGGAGATACAACCTAGAGGTACTTGGGATCAGTGAAACACACTGGATGCAAGTTGGACAACGACTAGCTTCAGGAGAGCTTCTGTTATACTCTGGCCATGAAGAAGAAAATACCCCACATACACAAGGAGTTGCATTGATGCTGTCCAAACGAGCACAAAATACACTTCTACGATGGGGATCTCATGGACCAAGGATCATCAAAGCCTCCTTCAAAACGACGAAAAAGAGAATTACAATGGACGTCATCCAATGCTATGCGCCTACCAACGACTACAATAAAGACAACAAAGATCAATTCTACGATAGGCTGCAGTCAGTCATCGAGAAGTGCCCAACAAAGGACCTGACCATTCTGATGGGAGATTTCAATACCAAGGTTGGAACGGACAACATTGGATATGAAGACATCATGGGACGACACGGACTGGGACAAAAGAACGAAAATGGTGAGAGATTTGCAAACCTATGTGCTTTCAATAAACTGGTCATAGGCGGCACCATATTCCCACATAAACGCACACACAAAACCACATGGACTTCACAGGATCACACCACGCAAAACCAAATCGACCATATTTGCATCAACGAAACGTTCAGGAGGACGATGGAAGACGTGAGAACCAAGAGAGGGGCTGATATAGCATCAGACCATCACTTGTTGGTCGCCAAGAGGAAATTGAAACACAAGAAGCACTGCACAACGGGGCGGAAAACATCACAATAGTTCAATACGGCCTTTCTTCAGGATACTGACAAACTCAACAAATTCAAGATAGTCCTCAGCAACAAGTTCCAGGCCTTTCATGATCTACTCAATGGAGAAGGAACTACTGTGGAGAGCAACTGGAAGGGGGTCAAAGAGGCAATCACTTCAACATGTCATGAGGTCCTGGGTCACAAGAAGCACCATCACAAGGAATGGATCACTGTTGATACACTGGATAAGATTCAAGAAAGAAGGAACAAGAAGGCAGCAATCAATACCAGTCGAACAAGAGCAGAGAAAGTCAAGGCACAAGCTGAATACACAGAAGTAAACAAACAAGTGAAGAGGAGCATCAGAACCGACAAACGTAAATATGTGGAAGATCTAGCAACGACGGCGGAAAAGGCTGCAAGAGAAGGAAACATGAGACAACTGTATGACACGACAAAGAAACTCTCGAAATCGCCGCAAAACAGAACGACCACTGAAAAGCAAGGAAGCCAAGTTAATCACCAACATTGCAGAGCAACGAAACAGGTGAGTAGAACACTTCAAAAAACTCTTGAAGCGACCAGCCCCACTGAACCCACTCAACATCGAAGCAGCACCCAGGGACCTCCCAATCAATGTTGGTCCACCAACAATTGAAGAGATAAGCATGGGCATCAGGCAAATCAAAAGTGGTAAAGCAACAGAGGCACTGAAAGCAGACGTACCGGTAACTGCAAGGATACTCCACATTCGCTTCAATAAGATTTGGGATGAGGAACAAGTACCAAAAGACTGGAAAGAAGGACTTCTGATCAAAATATCAAAGAAAGGTGATCTCAGCAACTGTGATATCTACAGGGGCATCACTCTTCTCTCAATACCAGGAAACGTCTTCAACAGGGTATTGTTAAACAGGATGAAGGACTGCGTAGACGCCCAACTTCGAGACCAACAGGCAGGATTCCGTAAGGATAGATCCTGTACAGACCAAATCTCAACTCTACGGATCATTGTGGAACAATCAATTGAATGGAATTCATCACTCTACATCAACTTCATTGACTACGAAAAAGCATTTGATAGCGTGGACAGAACAACACTATGAAAGCTTCTTTGACACTACGGTGTGCCTCAGAAGATAGTCAATATCATACAAAATTCATATGATCGATGACACTGCAAAACCGTGCATGGAGGACAGTTGACAAAATCGTTCGAAGTGAAGACCGGTGTCAGGCAAGGTTGCTTACTCTCACCCTTTCTTTTTCTCCTCGTGGTCGACTGAATCATGAAGACGTCAACATCTGAAGGGAAACGCGGGATACAATGGACATCTAGGATGCAATTGGACGATCTAGACTTCGCAGATGATCTGGCACTTCTATCTCAAACGCAACAACAAATGCAGGAGAAGACGACCAGTGTAGCAGCAGCCCCAAAAGCATTAGATCTCAATATACACAAAGGGAAAAGCAAGATTCTCCGATACAACACAGCATGCACCAATCCAGTCACAATTGACGGAGAAGATTTGGAAGATGTAAAAACCTTTACATATTTAGGCAGCATCATTGATGAACATGGTGGATCTGGTGCAGATATGAAAGCGCGGATCAGCAAAGGAAGAGTAACATTTTTACAGTTGAACATCTGGAACTCAAAGCAACTGTCAAAAAAACACCGAGGTCAGGATTTTCAATACAAATGTTAAAACAGTTTTACTGTATGGGGCGGAAACCTGGAGAACTACGAAAGCCGTCAGCCAGAAAATACAGGGTTTCATTAACAGTTGTTTACACAAAATACTTCGGATCCATTGGCCGGACACTATTAGCAACAACCAACTGTTAGAGAGAACAAACCAGATCCCAGCGGAGGAAGAAATCAGGAAGAAGCGCTGGAAGTGGATAGGACACACATTGAGGAAAGTAACCAACTGCGTCACAAGACAAGCCCTCAAATGGAATCCTCAAGGCCAAAGGAGGAGAGAAAGACCAAAGAATACATTACGCCGGGAAATGGAGATAGACATGAGAAAAATGAACAAGAATTGGATGGAACTAGAAAAGAATGCCCAGGACAGAGTAGGTTGGAGAATGGTGGTCGGCCGCCTATGCTCCATTAGGAGTAACAGGCGTAAGTAAGTAAAAGTAAATCTATCGCAATTTTATTTGACTCAAGTTACATGCACATTTGACACCTATTACCAAACGTATTTAGAAGAAATTAATGTTTACTCTAAAGATCTGAGCATGAAGAAAATACTGTGTTAATTTGTATGACGATAGACACCCAGTAAAGTAAGTGAATTGTGCTAGTTACACCTTCTGGAGAACAATTGAAACTGTGCTACACAGTTTTGATTAGTCTATAAATACCATTTGATCCACCTAATTAAGCATATTCATGGTTAGTAAGCAGTTGATTATCATTCCTGAGTCTATAACTTCTTAGGGCTTAAAGTCAATCATCTTACAATTCGGTTGCGAAAACGAAATATTATAACTAATGTTCTATTAAGCCTAAAGAAATTTTCGTTTAATCCAGACCGATGTCGTTGATAGGTACTTCTGTCTTCATTCATAACATGATTGGTTCCTGAAAAAGAGGCATTAGGAAAACCATCAACAACTTATAGATGCAATAACTGAACAGGTCTAAATATGAATGTCAGTCAAAAATAAATTAGGTCAACTTAAAATGTCTATAAATTGCCTAAAATCGAATGCAAACTTGTGTGCAGAAGTTTTTAGGTATAGGCGCCGATTACTTAAGGAATGTATTTAGAAGAACCGTTGGTTCACACCAATCATTTATTTAAAAATACCAAACACATTAGAAGTAAGAAATTTAAAACAATCGTAATAGGAACCGATTAAAACAAAAATAACTGATAAACTCGAATAGGTTAAGAGCACTAAAAATTGTAGTAATGACGAAGACCAGCTCAAATCATCATACGTACCCATGATAACATTTAACTTTGCCCGTTCAGGTAACAACTGTAGATTATTCAAACAAAACACATTGAATAAACCAGTCAATAAATTCGAAATGATGAAATATAACAAGCCTTTATCATTAATTATCAAAGATAATGGAGAATAGCTTAAATTCAGGTTGAAAAGTGATTTAAAGTGTATCAATAATGAAATCATCGAAGTGAGAAAAATAAAGCAAATGACTGAGAGAAATATAATGAGTAATACATAGTTAGAATTTCCAAAACGTCTGGATGTCATTTGACTACCACCTAGTGAGTGGAAACAACTTATTGAGCATAAGATCATGAAAGCACAGATTAAATGTAATCTGAATAACGAAGTATTACGCGGAAATTCCTTCTTGTTCAATGAACTTACTCCATTATTACTGTCATTATTGGTGCCTGTTGGCAAATAAGATCGAAATAGAAGTGATGAACTCAAATTGAAAAAGTAAATTGATGCATAACCAAATAAGGAGGTGACACCTTCAAAATTAGCAATCCATAAAGATTTTGATCGATTATCATTTATATAGTGTAGCGTTCTTGGATTAAACTGCCATCTTGTTTGAAAATACTCTGGACAAATTATTATTGGCAAAAATTCAGAGAATATTAAGAATATAGAGGATACAATGTAATAGAACAGAATTTGTTTTTTCAGTGAAAAAGTTATCAAATAACTACTGATAGGATTTCCAGTGGTCATAACGAGTGATATGGCACGTATCAGTCCAATAGTATAAAAAAAATTCCAATGGACACCATATTCTACAATATTCTGATGATAATTTGACATTTGAATGAATAATGTTCTTAATAATCCTAAAAGTAAACATGGTACTACAGAATTCAATGTACAATCGAAAAACCTTTTACTACTATTATCTCTGTAAATATTCATATAGAAAACTAATTTAGAACCGGATATACTAGATGCACATATAAATAAACCTGTACCAACATCCATTAAACCAAGACCATTTAACTCAGATTTAGCAAAACGTCTTGGACAGATTGGTAAATCAATAGCATAAATCATAATACAAGAAAGTATATATATGGTGGTTCGTAAATAGGCAATTAAAATATCCGTTGGTAAAAAATGGAAATTTCCAAAAGAATTCATTTGATTATAGTTTGGTAATAATGACCATAATAGAAATAATACAAAACAACTTATTACAATTACAATAATATAAGAAGATAATAAAGTTAATAATAAAATAATTGGTACTAGAATGATGAAATAATCAATAATCAAAGATAAATAAAATCGATTTTTCGATAATATATTAAAATGTATACATACCAGTGATCGTAAACATTGTAATATTAATGGAAATAAACAAATACAGATAAGTTCCATCATTGATGTAAAACCTATACGTTTTGTAAACTCATCGTATTCATTATAATTAGATTTATTCATTCTGTGTATATATACACATATATGTGTAGATATTGTAAAATGATGAAACGAATGACGTCTAAAGTAAATAAGAAGAAATATTAGAAAGTTTAGTTAAAAAAGTATTTAATTACTTTAACAGTATAAATGTGAAAAATCTCCCTACTTTTAAACATACATACATACAATATTATACAATCTATTGTTTATATTTTACAATGTGTAATTTGAGTGTTGATAATTGGAAACTTTTTTAACGAATTAGTTCAAAGTTAATATGTACAATATGAAGACCGGAAAGTTTTAGTTATATCATTTGTAGGATGTTACTATAGTGTTCCCTTATTTATTTATTTATTTGAACACAATTATTGGTACAAGGGGGTGCCAGATATATGTGCGCCACACAAGTTGAAAGGTAAGGATACGCAAGGTGAGAATGAAAGAGGGTGGACAAGTGACGTGGTACAAAAATAAAAATAAAAGTGAATGTTTTCAAATGGGGATGGGTTATTTGAATTTTAATAGGAGTGCGAGTAGTTTACCCAATAGTCATTGTCATTTCATTTTAATTATGTGAGAGCTGTGAAACTGCCCGGGTGCCCAAACCGAAGCAGGTGGCTTTCGTAGTGGGTAACTCTCCGAGCTTTTGACCTAAAGGTCTGATCCACAAGGCAGTATAGCGACGTAAGGAGATGCAGTCCCATGGTAGCCAGTGAACAATTGGTTCATACGTCATTTGTCTCCTCAGGATCCCGGAGCCCATGTGCACCATTGGTTTGGAGTCAAAGTTTTAAAACTCCCGTAAGTGAATCCTCCATATCCATCAATCCGGTTAAAGCGCCGGACACTCGCTTTTCGTCCTCTCGATTTCGTAAACACCCCCGCCACCAGAAGACTTCCCTGACAGAGGCTATATACGCGTGGCCGTGTGAGAGCATTTCGAGAGGGAGGGCGAATTCTCCCCGCTCTCAGCCGTACCAGGGCGCTTGTAAATAAACATCTTAACTACCGGTTAAATACATGATAACAATTGTGAAGCTTTTGTTACTTTGATATTTTCGAGTACGACAACTTTTTAGTTGGATGTCTGAGGAAAACAAATATTTATTATCAAGCTGTACAATCGTATATATATGAAAATTTTGTTTTTGTAAAAGTACTAATTCCGTGAGGAAATGTGAACACAGTTAACCATGACGTTATAAAAAAGGCTATAACACTAGATTACGTAATACGAACAATAACAATAGATTTAGTGAATATAACAACATGATTAAAATGTTTTTGACATAATAATTAAGGGTCATAGAGGTGTAAAAATAAATAAGGTGATATGATGAGCATTTACGAATAAAACAATGAGAACATAAGACAAGTAAAGGGAGAATGCAGTAATAATAATTAGTAATAATAACAAGCTTTCTTTGTACTTGAGTTGTCGGTTGGGTTTGTTTGCAGGAAGATTGCGTATCGATATTTAAATCGGACATCATCAACCGTGTGTAACTTTGCATGCTAGGTCTACAGAAAGCGGTTTTGTGTGAGGACTAGTGATAGTACTTAATTATTCAAAGAGGTAGATCAAAAGAAGAGGGGTTACAAAATAAATAAACAACTTGGCAAAAATAGCATTTGACAGAAGATAAACATCATACAAAAACAGATTTTCTTCAGTTAACAATGTCGGTCTTATGTTTGAGAAGAATGAAACAAGAAACTACATGATTGTTTCTGGCTTCTATTTTGATCAATGACGAAATCTGTGGTTACTGACTTGTAGACTTTTGGGGCCCACTTAAGGAATCGTGACGAGCCAACATGCATCATTCTTATACAGCTATTTTTCGTTTCATTGAACGTCAACTGACCTTATCATACACCTACCCCTCACACAGCTACTTAGCAACATGAATTTCAACTAGGATATTTTCTTCACGTAGGAAAAAGTTGCCAGGCCGACTGAAAATTACCACACAAAACTTAATATTCCATTTTCAAACACAACAAGAAAGTATCTGAATATAGAACATTATTTTAACCACGAAGATAACTAATATTAGGACAAAGACTTAATGTTATGCGCTATAACTGTGTCGTTGAAGTGAACCGTTGACCTGAACTGAGATCACAAGACGCAGGCAGATGAAAGTTTATATGAACAACAAAACCAGATTAACAATGATTCTGAAAGGTTTAATTTTACATTAAGTCATATTCTAAATGAACTAAGAAGGTAATGAGTGAGAGGACAATGGTTTCGTAAAGAGAAGACTAATTTAACTACAACGGGGGAAGATTATCAAGAAGCAAGTACACAAACCAATTCCACATGGATCCCTTTTAGGGCTGTTGCGGGTCCGGGTTGCGAACCCCACTCCGTAGAGGAGAACCTGACTAAAAACCACCTAACAAAAAGCAATTAGACCATTAAAAATCTCCACTGTTGGTCGAAAGGTTTTCATATAGAATATTTATGACGTCTCATGGTTAAAGCCGAGATTCTTCGGAAGTCACGAGGCTGATATCCCTTCTAATAATCAGAGCAACGACTAAAAAATAGACACACAGGTTGTCCGCACAATATGGGAGACCGCAAGGGTCATTCAAATAGCGGCGGAAATGATAAGATACAACCATGGTGGTGCTTGGAATAATTGAAACCGGTTGAATCCAAGCTGAACAGAAAATATTAGCTTTGAAAGAGGTGCTGTTGCATTCTGTTCATGGAGAGGAAAACTGCTAACACACGCAACGAGTTGCAGTGATGCTGTCCAAAGAACTACGAGAAGCACTTATAAGATAGGAATCTGATGGATTCTGAGTCATTAATGGATTAGTTTAATTAAGAGGGAGTAGTTCATTGTAGGGAACTGCCCGGGAAAAGATCAGACCATCTCGATGGTAGCTCTAAAAACGCCAGTTGAAATGGACAACACCAGATATATTATGAGACGACATAGACTGGGAGAAAGGAGCAAGGTTGCTGAGAGGCTAGTAAGTCTATGTGCTTTCAACAAAATGATCATGGTTTGTACAAATTTCGCTCCAAAACGTACACACAAAGCTTCACGAGACCACGCTACGTAAAACCAGATCGATCGTATCTGGATCAACAGAAAATTCGAAAGGTCCATGGAAGACGTAGGGGAAAAGGGAGCAGCTAATATGGATTCAGGTTATTACTTGGTGGTGATTAAGCTGAAATCGAAGTTAATGAAGCATAGGACAATCGGGCAAGCAACTCAGCAAAAATTCAATTAAACAGTCCCTCAATATACCAGCAAACCAAGCGAATTAAGAATAGCTCTCAGCAATAGTTTCCAAATCTTACAAGATCTACTACGAAGAGAAACCCATATGGAAAACAACTGAGAAGGGAAAAAGAAATAACTACAAAATACCAAGTGCCGGGGCTCATGAAGCACTCGTTAACAGCATGATTTTTCATTCATAATCTGGGCAGGATTCAAGACAAGAAAAACAAAAAACAACAACAGCCAAACAAGAACAGAAACGGCTAGAGTACATGTCGAGTATACAGAAGGAAACAAGTGAGCGAAGAAAATATTACAGCTGACAAACAGGAATACGTAGCTGACCTAGAAACTACACAATCAATCACTTACATTTGTCAGTAGTAACATTTTGAGCCTAGTCGTGCAACGAAATCAAAGTTGCTTCAAAACCTCACCAATCATTAGGATAAACAAAACCCATAAATTAGTGTTTCGATCCAGTTAATCTGGTTTTAGTATATCTAGGTCTTGTTCCTTGAGTAACGTTATATACATACGTATCTGCTTTCTTAAAGTGGAAGGGTTACGTTGAGGCAGTCAGTCAGTCAGTAACAACGTAGAACTTCGTACGTACGTACATCAGTTCGAGTTGCCACACCACATTAGCACAGAGATGCAGTGGTCGATTCAAATCCCGTAGTGGTAGAGGTAATAAGTGTATAAGCAGTAATCGGAAAGATTAGTGTTTGGAGATGTTACTTAAAGAGTAGAATACAGTGAAATAAACTTGGAAAGAGGAAAAAAGGGACATGAAGAATTCAGAAGATTAGAATTTGGGAGAACACAAAGAGTGGATGCACCTGCGCCATTGCAAACGATTTTGAGCCATGTCATTCAAGGTCTCTAACCATCGGTTGCTATCATCTCGCGGTCCCCAACCAGGTAGTCTACACCTACCAACATGACTCAGACCACTTGTCAGTGACTTCATGAATTTGTGCCATGTTTTGGTCTGGCCGCCCCTAGCTTTCTTCCAACCTACTCCTATACCACTGAACATCGCACGTCGAGGCAGTCGGTCGTTGGGCATACGTAACACGTGTCCCAGCTATCTCAACTGATGAAGTTTCACTTCATCAATTGATTTGCCATCCTTACCCAGTACCCGTTTCCGAACAACTGTGTTACTTACTCGATGGTCCCATGATATACGAGCAATGTTTCGAAGACACCTATGATCGAATACTAGTAACCTACGAATATCCTCTACTCTTACCGGCCATGTTTCACTGCCATAAAGTAGGACGGAACGAATTGCTGCGCAGTAAACACGTCCTTTGGTTGATAGACGAATATCTCGCCTACGCCATAAATGACGCAAGTTGGCAAAAGCTAGTCGAGCCTTCTGTATCCGTGCTGAGATTTCGTCACACACCAGACCACAAGGGCTGATGAGACTTCCAAGATAAGTGAAGCGGTCGACACACTCAACTACTTCACTCCCTATCACTAGTTCGGGTGTCGATGTCACCCAATCCTGAAGCAACATTTTGCATTTCGAGGGAGAGAATCGCATCCCGAACATGCTTGCATTGTAGCTTATAGTGGTCAGAAGACTCTGCATTTTGTCAGCGTCTTCACCAAATAAAACTATGTCATCAGCATATTCTAAGTCAACAAGTGAATTTCTTGGTAGAAGTTCAACCCCTGGAAATTTAGATGAGGAAAGTTTTATCTCTAAAAGTACGTCGACCACAAAGTTGAACAAGAATGGGGAGAGTGGACAGCCCTGACGAACACCACTTGATGTAATCAATTCTGATGACAGTTCGCCATAAGCTCTCACTCTACCAGTTGTGTTCGAGTAGAGAGCCTGAATAAGGTTAATGTACTTCTTTGGCACTCCTTTCAGTGACAAACACTGCCATAGAACCTCACGATCAACAGAGTCGAATGCCGCCTTAAGGTCGAGAAATACTACCATTGTGGGACGTCTGAATGTGTGTCTGTGTTCTAGAACCTGACGTAGGGTGAATATCTGATCTATACAACCACGTCCAGGTCGAAAACCGGCCTGATTTTCTCTAGCCTGCTCTTCACGAGCTTTGATTAGGCGTCGAAGTATTATTGAGGCTAATATTTTAGACACTATATTAGTCAAACTGATTCCTCTGTGATTGTCACAAGAGCACTTTTGTCCTTTCTTATAGACTGGCACAATCAGTGATTGAGACCAGTCAGATGGGATTACGTCCAGTTCCCAAATTCTACCTAAGACCTCGGTTAATCTCATTGCTAATACTGGACCACCATCCTTAAAAATCTCAGGAGTAAACCTGTCAGGGCCTGCTGCTCTCCCTCGCTTCAGATTTCCTATGGCTTTTTCAACTTCTTAAAGGGACGGAGGACTTACATTAACTTGCCATTCAGGTTGACTAGAGATCGTGGGAAACCGAAGTGTGGCTGAAGGCCAGTTGAACTGATCCCTGAAGTGTTCTGCCCATCGATCCAATCTCCTGGATTGAGAATGAATAATATGTCCATCTTTCTCTGAGATTGTTTCACTAACGGTCGGGTTCCTAATTCCGCTTTCCTTAACGAGTCTGAACAATTGTCTGCTATTACCTATTGCCGCTGCCTTTTCTATCTCACTTGCTTTCGCTACCCACCACTGTTCGCGATCATTGCGTAGACTTCTTGTCAGCTTGCTCTTAAGCTGACTCCGCTCTTCACTATGTACAGAGCCAGGTGGAATGAGTTTCCGAGCATCTATCAGTGCGATAGATGCTGCTGAGATCCAGTGTTGCTCCCTAACCTTCTGATTTACCTTACTAGCAGATATCACTGCTGTTTCCACAGCTTTTCGGATATCATTCCATGCTGCATCGGTGTGGGCATCACATACATGGCTGCCTAACTGTTTTCCTAGTTGTTCCTGAAATATACTCTTAGCTTGACTATCATTAAGTAGGCCCCTAAGAGGTTTACTTGCAGCGTCTTTCCTACGCCCAGTAAGACGCAGACAGACACGCGCTCGTACTATAGCATGATCTGAATCTAAGCATGTGCTCCAGAATGAGCAACAGTCTTCTATCGAGCCCCTCCATCGGTGGCTGATAGCGACGTGATCTATTTGGGTCCAACGCTGGGACAAATTAGGGGGTCTCCATGTTAAAAGATGTTTTTCCTTATGCTTAAAGTTGGTATTTGCAAGAAAGAGGCGGTTATCCGAGCATAGCTGCAACAGACGGTCGCCATTATCTGTTCTTTGTGCCATGATGCTATAAGATCCACACAGGTGTCTTTCCCTTTCGCTTAGTTTACCTACTTGAGCATTAAAGTCACCGGCCACTATTACTACATCAGAGCGCCTAGCTTTTCGGAGAAGGTCGGAAAGCTTTCTGTAAAACTCATCTTTTACATCATCTGCGCTGCAGTCAGTGGGAGAATAGGCAGAGACGACGAAGAGGCAACGACGAGTATCCCTATCTTTTCGGATCCTTACTGTTCCGTTCAGTCGGACAGCGCACAAACAGCTGTCTACTGGGATCCACTCTAAGAGAGCTAGTTCTGCCCTAGGACTCAATGCTATGCATACGCCGGCGAGTCCACAGGAAGCAGAATCAGGGCTTCCAGATACACGAAGCGTAAATCGAGTCGGTTCTTTATTTTGGCATGGTGAGGTCGGATGAATGACGCTACTCGGATCCTGTATGCGCGTTTCGGAGATACAGCACACATCGATGGCGCGGGATTCTAAAGTTCTAGCTAAGGAAGCCTGCTGTCCTATTTGGCACAGTGTTCGGACGTTAAAAGCTCCTACGTGTAGTTTAGAGCGTGGTTTCAGGAGACCGGGAATAGCGTTCCGCGTACTCGAGTCGTTTGCCCTACCGGTGCGAGGTGATAAAGAGACGTGAGGAGGGTTAGTCATGGAAATAAGAGAGGTATTAGGAGGTGTAGGAAGGATTTGAATGTGACCAACTTGGTCTCGTGTGCTGTTACGGGTATGAGGGCTGATGTCACTTACCGGCTGCCCACACCGTGGAAGGGTATTTCTTGAGGAACCTGAAAAGGAAATTGGATTAGTGTTGGTCCTAACGACCTGGGAGCGTGACCGCAGAGCCCAAGGGACAACTGCTTGAGGCCTGTCGTGCACGGCCCTTTCGTGGAAGGTTTTTAATGAGTTAGCTCCGTTCTTCAAAGGGCCTTACCGCCGGAGACGGAAATCCGTGAGGTAAGGTGAGGTGTGACATTTTTAGGGTCGACCTTTTCTAACCCCACCCCTTCTTGTGGGAAGGCAGCATCGCTGCAGATGCTGGTTGTCCGAGGGAAACACCTTACTGCTGTCACACCTCTCTACAGTCAGCAGTAAGACTTCGCCCTCAGACCTTAAGTTGCTGCTTTTAGTCTTACCGTACTCCAATCGACCTTCCTGGCATGGTAGAACCTACAGGAACATATGTTCCAGCCAATATAGCTCGGTTGGGTCATCACGATAAGCAAGCCCGACCACCGCGTCAAGGTAGCAGCTTCGGTCGGGCTAATGCAGGGAAAACACGGTCGAACAAACAGTTACACAATATGCCAAAGATTTTGAAAAAGAAATAAATGAAACGGAAATGAAAACCTAAACGATGAATCGAAATGAAGGCTATGATGTTTGTCGTTAATAAGTAATTTTACAGCAGAAAGGTTGCAAAGGTTTATTTTATACACACAGTTTATATAAATTTAATCCAGATATAACCAAGGGTTGAACAGATGTAGACTACTTGGTTGGGATCCGCGTGACTATCGTAACCAATGGTTGGAAACTCTTGGTGACATGTCTCAGAATCGATCACAATGGCGTCGGTGTATACACTCTCTGTCTTCCCTCAAAACTAAGAGATTAAAATGACTTCATATCTTTCTATCTACGAACTAATTCTTTCATCCTGTACTATGTCCTTATATGCAATCTTTCTTTTACATATTACCACCTTTGAATTAACTACTTCTATGAATCCGGTGTCCATCTTGTTGTGCTAATGAGGTATGGCAACTTGGACTGATGCACATATGTGCCTGGTCCTACGTTGTAGCTGACTGACTGCTATGGTGTGTCTCCAGTTTCTGGGTGTTACCTTTTAGGTTAGTGTTGAAACTAAGCTTTCGTAGGTGTTTGAGAGGATGTCAAGAAGTGTTAAGCATACCATAAACCATCAGGTCACCTCTAAGATGTCTATACTCTAATGGATAAAGGTTAAGTGATTGGAGGCGCTCTTCGTAAGGTTTGAATTTGAGTCCCCGAACTGATTTCGTGGCTCGCCGTTGGATACGCTCCAGGGTGTCCTTATCCTTTTGGGGTGAGGGGGGAAATATTATGTTTCCGTACTCTAAATGGGGACGGATAAAACTCTTGAATATTATATGGAAAGTCCTTCCATCAAACTGGCCAAAAATGCGCTTCAATGTTACTAGTGCAAGGTTTGCTGTGAAGGCATTTTTGTCACAGTTAGCGTAAGACTTTAAATCGTAGGGCATCAGGACTCCTAAATTCTTTTCGACTTGGGATTCTACTAGAGAGGAGTTACCTAAGTTATAACTGTAGTCTGCGACATGTCGCAGATGGACTACTTTACACTTTGAAGTGTAAAAGGTAAGTCCGTTATTGTCTGCACAACTTTGAAGTCAAGTCAGATCCACCTGAAGTGCCTTTATATCATCTTAGTTGCTTATCTTTCTCCAAAATTTTACGTCGTCGGCAAAAAGTAATAAGTCTGACGTTACCTGTTGAGGAAGACCATTTATGTAGATCAATAAGGAAAGAGGTCCTAGTACTGAGCCCTGGGGGACCCCACTAGGACATTCCATAGCCTGAAAGTGAAATTAACCCTGACCTTAAAATGTCGGTTTTTCAGGTATGAAGTGAGTCAATCGATTAGAGGTGGTCTGATACCCAATCGTTTGAACTTAGTGATAAGACATGTATGGTTAACCTTATCAAAAGCTTTTGAGAAATGTAGGTATATGATATCAACCTTCCCCTTGTGATCAAGGATGCTTGTCCATCTGTCCACTGCAGTCAGGAGGTTGGTCATACAAGAGTAACCCTTCCTGAAACCATGCTGTTGGTGTGAGAAGAGATTTAGGGAAAGTAAATAGTGGTTTATACCATCACATATCAAGGACTCCATGATTTTTAAAAATACTGACAGAAGATCTACCGGTCGGTAACTTTGTGGTGGACCAAAATGTATATTAACCGACTAACAGCAATAAAGCTATCAAGTTCAAAAGTTAATGTAGCAATTAACAACTCATTAGTTAATAACACAAATAAAAGTTTGTTGACGTTACTTAAATCAGCAGATTGGCGCGTATCTTGCTGGTTTTGGTACCAGGATCCACAATTGTAAGTAAATAATTTCAATGAGACGAAATGGATCCTGTAGTATATCCGAAAGTAGAATGTTACAACATTCTATAAATATACATGATAGTTAATTAATTGTTCCGTCATCAAATCCACAAACATGATAGAACGAGAGAAGTGTGTATACAAGTGTATCTAATTATGGAGGGAAAGTGTGGGTATTCAAGGTCATATACTTAAACAACAAGTGCAATCGATTATTGAAAATGTACAGACTGTGAGAATTGGCAAACTAAATGCTGAAGATATCAAAAACCATTTGCAAAATAGGTTTATTAAGTCTATCTCTGCAACTTGAAGGTTTACTGCCTCGTTCTTAAAGGTCAAACTGTCGTAAAACGATTGTTGCGACCCCCCCCAAAAAAAAATTTGTAAGTTCTTCCCAAAACGGTCAAATCAAGGCAGTTTCAAATTTAATTTGAGTTCAGTCATATTAAGTCTGATAGCTTTTATCCCTTAAGTTGTGGTGGTAGGCACGACAAACTCACTTTTTATCATCCGCAAACAATAATGTCAACGATTCAAGCAGTCACGGTAATTCATTGATGTGCAGAAGGAAAAGTATGGGTCACAAAGTGATGCATTGGGTGCGCCACTTTCAGTATGCTTCCATTTACCACTTACTTAGGCCTATCACTTCACATGGAGGAGTATAGGCTTGTAGCGTGGCGTCGAGTCGAGATTGACTATGAACACCGCTACCAAAATACACGTGCCAAGAAAATCAGAAGGCGTAGGTTGAGCGTAACCAGATTTATTCGTTTGGCGATCTCGTGGTATCGAATAAATACCGAGATCGTGCCAAGAACGGTACAAGCGAAAGCAGGAGATTGGAGTACGTGCGAACAGTAGCAAAAATTGCGGAACAACAACGGAAGGTAATGGAAGCACAAAATGGCCATAGTTAGCACAGTTAAACAAAAGCACATTAAAACAAACACTGGTACAATTGTTTATAATAATAATTGTTTTTATTAAACTAGTCGTGTTCTCGTGATAAATGTGAGTCACTACAGGCCGCCCACCAGCATTCTCCATCCACCTTTATTCTGGATAATCCTTCGCAGTCACTATTCATATTTTTCATCTCTACTTCCGATTCCCGATGAAGTATGTTCTTTGATCCTCCTCTTTTCCGTTTTCCTTCAGGATTCCAAGTAAGCGTTTGCCTCGTGATGCAGTTTGATGATTTACATCATGTGTGTCATATCCACTTCCAACGTATGTTGTAAGCTGGTTTGTTTTCTCCCACAGCAGGTTGTCGTTGATTACATCCGGCCAATGGACATTCAGTATCTTACGTACACAGCTGTTTCTAAATACTTGCACCTTCTTGATGTTGGTTGTGGTAGTTCCGTATAAAAGAACTCACTAACTTGATGTTGTGGAGATATGCATGACAAGCTCATTTAGTAAATAGTTTTTGATGTTATTTGAATTTATTCTGTTAGTTTTTTATAGCCTGTACATTTATCATTAAATGATTGTATGTGTTGTTTAAGTGTGTGACCTTGAACTCACTTCTTTCCGTCGTGTTACACTCATAGCATGACAAACGCTGTTACTTACTAACAAATACACTGTTATACACATATAACATACCTCATGTTCTTCATTGCTCGTGATTGTGTTAACTGAACTCTAAATCAACTACCGTTTACATTTATAGACTACAACCAAATTATACGATATTCTACGTTTGGTTATACCACTGGGAGGACATCAATCTTACTGGAATCTTCAATCATCTATAATTGTTGATTTCGGTACCAGACTAAATCGGAACCCGCACCAACTTTGCTGAATTAAGTAACGTCTCTAATTTTGATTGTGTTGATAATATTTAATTGATATATATTAACATTGCCATTTGTACTTAATAACTCTGTCATCATTTTTGAGTTCATATATTATTTGGTCCACCTCAATGTTAGTATTGAAGGTCGTGACTTTGATATTGATTGACGGTTGTTGCTATCATTTTCTTACCAATCCACGCCTTTACGTTTGCATCACATCCTCCATATTCATCGATGATACTACACAGACACGTGAAACTTTCCACATCTTCCAGAGTTTCTCCATCAAGTGTGATTGTGTTGGTGTTCTCTGTGTTGTATTTGAGGATCTTGCTTCCCTCCTTGTGTATATTTATGCATACTGATGCAAAGAATGCTGCTACATTAGTTGTCTTCATCTGCATTTGTTGATGTATATGAGATAGGAGGCTTAAGTCATCTACGAAGTCGAAATCGTCTAAGTGGTTCTGAAATGTCCATTGTAGTCCGTGTTTCCTCTCAGATGTCGAGGTCTTCATGATCTAACTCACAGAAGAAAAAGAAAGAGGGGAGTAGGTAACCTCGTCTGACTACGATCCTCACTTGGAATGCATCTATCCCACATTCACGACTTTGCAATGTAGTTCATCACCAAATTATTATTATTAAAATGTAATGTGAATGTACATTTCAAATTCAATGATCAAATCTTCGGACAAATATACTGTATCGTGATGGGTTCACCCCTAGGTTCCATATTGATTGACATTTTTAGCTCTAAACAAAAAAACGACCTACTGGCACAATAGATTACCGATATATGGACGATAAGTTTATTCTTTGTAACGACCATTCTGGCCTGAAAGAAACACATGAGAAATTCAATAAAGTTCATCCGTCCATAAAATTCACATGTGATTAAGAAAATTGAGGTAGAATAGCCTTTTTAATTGTTCTACTTACAGGGAGAAAAGACGGATTGTTCGGGAGAAACATAAACCAGAAAACTACTTGAACGGGCCAATATAAAAACTTTTCTAGTTTTGTTCCTCTACGATAAAACAGAGACCTGATTAAGACAGTGGATCATAGAATCAAGAAGATATGCTCGATAGATGCGATCGAAGAAGGAACAAAGGCACTGTACACAACCCTGAAACAAAATAGATATCCGGAGAAATTTATAAATAAAAATATAGCCAATAATAGAGAGCATATGGTTTCCCTAACCGTGAATATAATGCCTCTGTATGTACGCTTACAATCCGGAGGCGATGTACCTAGGGAAATGCTAAAACGGAAGTTACGCAAATCAGTTCAGAGGACTTTTAATGAAGTTAAACGACAGTTACTGTTTTCCATACGTCCAATGGTCACTCCGAGGTTGAAAGATAAATTGCCTAAACTAGCCACTTATTTCTGTATCTATCAATTCAACTTTTCTTGAGGGAAAACGTTAGGCTGGCAGATGTTCTAGGAATTTGTATATTTGGGCTCGTGAGCACCTTTCAATGTGGTTAGGCAAATGTGTAGTTAAAACTGTTAACGGTTCCATTTTAGCCCATTTAATTTGGACGGGATATATAGCTAACATGGAGCAATGTTTCCCAATACTATATTGTGTTAACAGTAGTCTACCTAATTCCGTCAGATTGAAAATCCTGCAGATGGCTGAAGCCAGAGCTTTTCACCCAAAAGGAATATGTTCAGCCACTTCTTTTATCATCAACTTCTAGCCTAACTATTCAATAATCAATTTTATATTATGGTGACGTAATCAGACTAATGTTAATTTTTATATCCTAAAGTCATTCACACATTTTACCATTGTCATTATTATTACACTTGCCAAAATTTTGGGAAATTTATTCGGCATCCACCTCGATCTACTGTATTTGACCCGATCCATATTATTCTACGTATTATGTAATTTCTGATTTGTAATTACATTATTCTCTCTCACCCCATGCTGACTATATTTACTCTAATAATCGTTTATCTTACAATTCTATTTCATTTGTGAACTGATCTAAGTTAACATTTCATATTAGTCACCCCAGCATTGACGATTCGAATTGAATTTATGTGACAAACAATCCCTGATTTATATGTTACAATTTTAAATGATGGCCAATTTTATGGATTATTAATTTGGATTTATAATTGTAGAGCCTGATGAGAAATTATTGAAAATGATATTCTTCGTTCACATAGTTGTGTTTTACTTATTCTTCCTTCCGTATCTTCTTGAACAGAGTGTGGAGCACTTTTGTAGTTGTTTCTGTGTCTGACTTCAGTGTTTCAGATGGTATGTTGTCGTCTTTTGCTGCTTTCTCACTCTAGATTTTTCTGATGGCCACCCTGAATTCTTCGATCGTTGGTGGAGTGATATCTATGGGAAAGTCTGTGTGTGCACCTTCGATTTCCGGTGTATTCAGTGGAGCTGGTCTATTCAAGAGTTCTTCGAAATTTTCCACGCATCTGTCCCTCTGTTCTGAATTTTCATTGATTGACTTGCGTTTTTTGTTCTTGACCAGTCCCTTTGATCAACTACATTTCCCTGTCAGTTTTTTCATCGCGTCATATAGTTGTTACATATTTCCTTCCCTTGCAGCTTTTTCTGTTTTATTTGCTAGCTCTTCTACATTAAGCTTTCCAGCTGCAGTGCTCTTCTTCCTTTGCTGCCTTCCTTCTGTGTATTCAGCTTTTGCTTTGAATTTTTCTATTCTTGTTCGACTTTTGTTAATCGCTGTCTTCTTGTTCTCCCCTTTTTGAATCTTGTTTAGGACTTACATGAACACCCATTCTTTTTGTTGATGCTTCTTGCGACCCAGCACCTCGTGACACGTTGAAGTTAGTGCTTCTACAAACGTTCTCCGGTTGTCCTCCATAGTACTTTATTCTTTCAGTAGATCCTGTAAGGCTTGGATTCTGTTTTTGGGGGTCACCCTGGTGAGAAACCTTATCAAATTCGTTACTAAATCTACGCATATCACATCAATAGACAAACTGCTATCTCCGGTTACTGTTCACTTCTCTCTAGCAACTAATAAGTTGGTTAAGCATGAACGCTCATCACGAAACCCGTGTTGTTCATTATTTAATAGATTGCATGGTTCTATGTGACTTGGTAATTCAGCACGAACTGTTTTTTCAAGTAACATACCTAAAATGTGACGGAAAGAAAACGATGAAAATCCCTCCTCAGTTTTTTGTTGAACAGTACTGTCATTTATTTGCTTCTTCTCCCTGTTGTGTATTTTAACCTTTATTATGCGACTTTGATCAAAGATTTATCCTTTGTTACCTAATTTTTTATTGCATTTTGCCGGACTATTGACAGTACGATCGTGTTTGACTAAGATCAGGGACACGGCGTGGTTCAAAGTGTGACTGTTAT